GTTTATGTAGAATAAAACATGCCTATATACTACAGTATGCCCAGAAGATTACCTTCTTAACACTTATGGACTTAGAAATGTAGGTTCATGAAATGTTGTCTTATAGAGTAGATCTGTGATGGTGTTAGGAATTAAAACCAGAATGGTAAGTTACATAAAGTCTTGAAAAACTAGACAGCTATATTCCAAGTTATTTGAGATTTTAAGACATTGTTTATTTCTCAAAGTTCTTTCTGTGATGAAATAAATCATTATTTATTTTAATGTTGAAAATCTGTGGGGCATAAAGCATGGGGGCTACTTAGAAATAAGTTTTTTTTTTTAACTCTACTTGAATAGGAAAGTGTTTCATTTCTTGTAATAAATCACTGTTTTAATTTTAAAAGGGAAACTCAAACATTACTTATAAAATCTATGACACTAGAAGCTATAAAAAGAAAATGTCAGTAATGACTACTCATCCCATTGTGATTACAAATTTACTTAAGAGTGTATGTTAACCCGGCTATATGGCTTAGCCTGTAATCCCGCGCTTTGGGAGGCCGAGGTGAGTGAATTGCCTGAGCCCATGGGTTCGAGACCCTCCTGGGCAACTTGGTGAGACCTCATTTCTACAATAAACCAAAAAAATTAGCCGGGCTTGGTAGCGCGCGCCTGTAGTTCTGGCTACTTGGAAGGCTGAGGTGGAAGGATCACTAGAGCCCAGCAAGTTGAGGCTGTAGTGGCCAGGAGCAGCCACTGCACTCCAGTCTGGGTGACAGAGTGAGACACCAACTCAAAAAAACCAAAAAGAGTGTATGTTAGAGTTTTCACATCTCTGAAGGATTTTTTCCTACTAAAAAATATATGTGAAAATTCACTGGCAGACTTAATCACTTAACTATACTTCCTTTTTATTATTTACTTAGTCTTTTCCCAAAAATTGAGTGGAAATTACGATATTCATGAAATAACATGCAGTTCAGTTGTCAGTAAATAATTTTGTAAGATCCAAAAGAGATTCAAAATTATTTGCTTAACAGCTTTTGTCGGTGAATATCAATTGTATTTTTAACAAATATATATTTGGAATAAGCTTAACATAGAAGAAAGAACCACTTGCTGAAGCAGCCAAACAAAGGCAAAGCACCAATGAGCTAAGTCAAAGATAGGGTTAAACATACTTCCCTGAGAACCACCTTGCCATTACAACTACTGATATGAAACTCAATCTGATGTGACTTTCAGCTATATTTGCAATGGGTATTATCCTGATGTCAAGGAATGATCCATCTATGATTTATCTAGGGTACTCTTGGTGAAAGGGGTAGTTCCTTCATTACATATTACCCACCACATGTGTGTGCTGGCAGGGAAGCTTTGATAGGACTCAAGTAAATGGGATTGCCAAATACATTAGGTGTTGCTGATCTTGTGGAGAGTACAGATGTCCATTATGTGCTTGAATAACTGCAACCCAAACTTGCTGCTCCATCCTTGACAAACCCAGGTGTCACAGATCTGTCCCCTTTATTAGGAATGCCATAGGTGCACACAGTAAAAAAAAAAATCTCTCTACTGCACATTTTCCAGATCACTAGGGAATAGGGTGAAGACATAAAGCTATAAAAATTAAATATTTGCAGTGATAAATCTTTTTTGAGTTGACTAAAGTCCTCTTTAATTATTGGTGCCAGGATGATTTAGTGACCGCTAAAAGATATTTCACTAAGAGACTTTTTGAAACTCTGATTTGAAGTCTACTAGATAAGCAGCAAAAATAACAGGAGTGTTGGGTGAAATGTTCTTCAAATATGATGTATTTGGGAAAACGCCGAACATGGTTTTTTGAAGCACTTATACCCTTAATGTTGTGAAAGCAGGTACATATTAAAGGTAATTTAATCCTGACTCATGTGTAAACCATCAAATTATTGATCTTAAAACCTATCTGATTTTCAAATAAAATAATATTTATTTTCACTCTTATTTGCATGTGTGTGTGTGTGTGTGTGTGTGTGTGTGTATATATATATATATATATATATATAAATATGAATTACCAATGTTTTGAATATGGGCTACTGATGTCTTACATTTGGCCTAACCTTTATGTGCACCAAATTCGGTACAGTAAACTACTGTTTATCAACATCCAAGCAATCACAAACTCCAAAACTGAATCATTTTCGGGATTCTTCTTTTGTAAGAAAATAGACATGCTGATATAAAAACCTCCTCCTCCAGTTTTCATTGTCAGTATAGATTCAAACAGTATCTAAAACTTTCTGATATAAGAAATGACAATTAATAGTTATGATCTGTGTTCTTGGTTGCCACTTTAAGATTCTAAGGTACTTTACTGGTTTTTTAATTCATGTATTCATTTATATATATGATAAATGTTTATTACCTGCCAGTAACAAAGAACACCAAATTAAATTGGATATGGTTTCTGACATTGAGAAACCATATTAGCAAGGGAAATAGGTGTGTGTGTGTGTGTGTGTGTGTGTGTGTGAGATTCTAATAAATGATTGGATAAAGAAAGTTATTCAAAGAATGATTCAATTATAGTAATTCAAAAGACTTACATTCTGTTTCTTTAAAATTGACTCAAAATCCTGGTTGCTAATTTGTTTGTTTTTTGAGTTGAGGCTTTACTCTGTCACCCAGGTTAGAGGTACCATGATCATGACTCACTGCAGCCTCAGCCTCCTAGGCTCAAGCAATCCTTCTGCCTCACCATCCCAAGTAACTGGGACTACAGAAGCACATCATCACATCTGCTAATTTTTATTTTTTAAAAATTGTAGAGATGAAGTCTCACTATGATGCCTAGGCTGGTCTTGCACTCCTGGATTCAAGTGATTCTCTTACCCTGGCCTCCCAGAGTGCTGGGATAACAGCTGTGAGCCACAACAGTCAACCTAAAATTAATTCAAATAGAATATTCAGTTATATCACCTAGTGTCCCAACCATTCTGAACAAATGAAAACTGATGTAAATATTTTCATATAATGGAAAACAATAAATATTTGTAACAAAATTATAACCTGATATTAACACAAAATATATCTGCAAAAAAGTTGCTATGCTTAATTGTTTAAGAATATTTTTGTAACTTTTCTAATATAGACTATTCTTTAAATTCTAAATAGAAAAATGTGATAACTGTAGAAACGTGAGTTCATTGATTTCTACATATTTAAGGATAAAATAGTGTGTGGGGGGTGAGGGGGTGGGATTGTCAATAGTGGGAATCTGCCTGGAGAAGTTGGGGCACACCTCATCAACCAGGGTACCTGCACAATGAATATTTGTATACCTAACCCTGAATTGTACTCCACAGTTTTAAAATTAAACATTAAAAAAAAGTCGTCAAAATTTCTGTACCTATTTGTTACTATCTGGTTCTATTTGTACTAAGAAAAAAATCTCGTGATTATTAAAGAAGTAATAGGAAAAAATTATGAAAACATATTTATAAAGAGTAGTTAATTAGAAAGAAAATATTAGTGCATTAGTATGCAATATACCATAAATTTATATTGATCAATCATTTATTTAGTATTTTAATCTCATTTATTTATCAAACATTTCTTGAGCACTTACTTTGTGTCAGGAATTAAGTTAAGCACCAAATAGTGATTTCCAAAAGTAATTTTTCCAGTTTGATATAGTGATATATAAATAAAACATCTTTTTATATTTAGAGCTAGATTGAATAATATAGTTTTGTAAGATGAATACTTATCAGAATGTGATACTGTTTAAAATAAAAATATATTTGTTAATAAAGATATGTGATTTCATAAGATATATGAATCTACAAAGTACATTTGTGTTAATCTAACAAATAAAGATGGATACATAGGCATTTCATCAGGTTTTATTAAATTCCACGGGAAATAGAACTTGACTGAGAGTATGCCATGAGCCAGAACTATCAGGGTTTCATGACACAGTAGAAATCACTTGATGGACCGGCTGGCTGACTCAACCTGTAATCCCATCACTTTGGGAGGCCAAGGCGAGAGGATTGTCTGAGTCCTCGAGTTCGAGATCAGCTCGAGCAACTTTGCAAGACCTCGTCTCTACAATAAATAAAAAATTAGCCGGGCATGGTAACGCGCGCCTGTAGCACCGCCTACTTGGAAGGCTGAGGCGGAAGGATCACCTGAGCCCAGCAGGTCGACGCTGGGGTGGCGGTGAGCCTGCCACTGCACTCCAGCTTGGGCGATGAAGTGAGGCTCCAACTCAAAAAAGAAATCACTTCATAATCACAACAAATTTGTGAAGTTCACAATATTACATGTAATGTGTACATGTAAAAGTGGTATCTAATGATGAATTTTAAATTGCTTTAACTGTTCATTCTTTAACACAATATTCTAATAAGTTATCATTAATATGATAAGGAGAGTTTTAGGAGTTATGCTATAATCTGCTACTATTTTCTGCTCTCTTCAACAAAAATGTACCCCAAACAAAAGAAACTTCCTTTTTATCACATTGCTATTAATACTGAATGACAATTAAAGCTCCACTGAGATTAGAGAACAAAATATATATTTTAAAGTCAGGATGATTTAAAATAATTGTAAATTTTATAGACATAGATATAATAAATATAGAGATATTTAATTAAATTATAAATGCCTGAAAAATATTTTAGCAACGCTATGAAAGAGAAAAATATGTCTAAAATTCATATTTTTTTATGCATAAACAAAATAATCACTCTTTTATGATCGTTTACTCATAGAAAATATGTACATTTCCTGACAAAGTGCATTTTCATAATATATCTATAATTCAAATTGTTGCATCACATGTAGTGAATATGCTAATAGTATATAGTAACCCAAATATATTGTAAGCAAAAGAGTTTTAAAAATTAGAATAGCTTAATAAAGGTGCTAGTCCAATTTACTTTGAAGTTGTAAATATTTTATGGAAATAATTTTTGTTCTATTAACATAATATTAAATTATTACAATATCAATCAATATTTCAGGTCATGACCCCTGGATTTAAGAAATTCTTAAAGACAATGTTGAATATGATCCAAGAGAAAATGTGATTTTAGTCTGGAGACAATTGTGCATGTAAGTATTGGAAAATTAGATTTTCTCATAGTAAAATGCAATAGCAACTAAAATACTGACTTATTAATTACTAAATTGCAGAAATTTGATTCATTATTTTCCATCTATTACACCACCAATTTCTACTATTTAAAATTAATACAATGCATCCTGATATTTTGATTATTTTTTATAAGATCACCTAATAATAAAAATCCTGGATTGCTGATAGAAGAGAAAATATTTTGAAGATTTCTACAGTTAAAAAGGAAAGCTACTTCTAGGTGAGTCATTGGTGAGGGAAAGCAATGATGTGGGTTCTATATCTTCATTAATGTTGTGCTAACCTTGCATGTGATAAAAATAATAAACAAAACGTGAACATGAAGAAAATGTTTTAAATTTCTATTTCTGACATTAGTCCTATAATAAAATTCATGACTAGTTTTTTTATTAGAAAATATAGTTTATTTAGAAAGCAAATTAGAGAGAGAGAAAGAAACAGGAGATTCACCTCCCCAGGGTAGGGGAGGGGGCCAAAGCTAGGAATCATGGGGACAGTCATAACTCAAGAGCACATGGCCACACCAGAGTCTAGAAGGCAATGGTGGCAATGGTCTGGCAATGGCCAACTAGTTTTCTAACAGAATTAAATCTAAGTTCACAGTTCAATGGCAATTATCAATTGATTGGAATTTTTCAATCTCTTTTAAAATTTTTTTAAAATGTTCAATTAAATGAACATTATATTCTATGGCTAGACCATGACAATGTGTCAGGATAGGTTGCTCCTGGATTTTATAGTGAATAATCATTAGGAATTACATCCCAGTAATGTCCATCTCTTAGAATTAGGAAGTTAGTGGATGGCATTTTAGAAGCCATTTTTTATTAGCTCAGACTTGTATCTACAATTGGAAATATTTAAGCAGAAATATTTTTATTTGATATTGTTCATTTCTTATAACCTTACTTTAGTTATGTAAATGACTTAGATAATTTTTAATTTTCTGATTAATAAAAAAGATTAATACTCATAAAATATTTTAAAAGCTGTACAATAAAATATGCCAATGTAAAGCTCTTTGTTTTTATACTCTAAAATGATTTCATATTTTTATACTTTGATTTCAATTTTGGTAAAGACAGAGAAAGCAAGTTGTTATCTAATTACTTCATATATGTGAAGTTTTTTGTTTGTAAGTATAATTCAATTAAAGTGTATTTGATTAAGCTTTTTATTTCTTTAAATAATGATGCTTTCGCATGTTTGTGGTACATAAGACCATTAATCAAATCTTTTTTTAACTTTTAATTTTTGTATTAAATTAAAAAGTTTAATTCAGGGTTAGGTATACAAATGTTCATTATGCAGGTACTCTAATCAAATCTTTAAGATGAATTTGCTGTGTACTTTTAAAAGAATGTTTTTGTTTAGAACATTTAAATTACTTCATAAATATTGATAAATTATATTTTTCACTTTCTGTTGCAGTTTGATTCATATTATATAGCATATTTCATTTTGGCCTTAATGATGGAGAAAAAATGTATCCTGCCCTCTCTACTTCTCTTGCCTTTTTTTATGGTAAGCATAAATATCTATGATCATTTCTTTTTTCACTGCCAATATGCCTATCATTGATAAAGGTTAATAACAACAAAGTTAAAGCAGTTACTAGATGCATAAATTAATTACACTTTTGTATCCAATCAATACAGCAATCATTTATTTCCTTTCAGTGTCTGCTCTTACTCCTGCAACGCATATAGAATGGTGAGGCAGAGGGGGTTCAGAATGGGGAAGATCAATGCATACAAATGTGCAAGACGTCAGGGGAAAGCAATTTTCAGAGCATGAAAAAATATAGAACAGCTCTGCAGTACAGACGTACATAGTAGATAAAATATTTTCTTTCTTTTATTTTTATTTTTTATATTTTGAGTTGGAGTCTCACTCTGTTGCCTAGGTTGGAGTGCAGTGGCATGCTCATGGACACCACATCCTCAACCTGCTGGGCTCAGGCGATCCTTTTGCCTCAGCCTTCCAAGCAGCTGAAACTACCGG